GGGGGGGGGGGGGGGAAGGCCTGTGGGCGCGGCTCCACTGGGGGATGCGCTGCTGGTGTCATGGTGGCGGGTGATGGGGCCCTTTGGTTGCGGGCTGAAGGCTTTGCTCTGCTGTGGTTGCTGCTCCAGGATCGGATGTGGCCGGCGTTTGGCCAGCTGTGGTCTGTGTCGTCTGTGTGCAGACGCTGGGTGACGCTGCGCCGCCGGCAGGGCTTTGAGAACCTGGCGCTTGTGGCTGGCCGCGAGTGACGCGCCTGCGGCTGCTGGCCGCCAGGTCTGCTGGAGACGAGCAACCCTGCAAGTGTGCTGCTGGCATCGGCCCCAAATGCCGCTGTGCGCCAAATTCAAATGTGTTTATCATTGAGAAACGCAATGTTTTATTGTTTAACTGAGCCAAAACAATCACAAACAAAGAGCAATCACAGCTACGTACAAAAGAGTAGCAGGCTGGCAGCATGTGGTGACCATTCCTGCCACGATGTAGCGGACCAGCCTGGGTGATGCTCCTCAGGTCTATCGACGAGAAGACACCTCATCACATCAAATCAGCCTTTTGAATGCATGCAAGCTACACATTATTGGCGCTTCTGGTGTCACACAAGGGGGTTCGCTGAGATGAAAGACGACACACCAGCAGGGCATGCGGTGACGCCATCATGGCTGACACGCCCGCTGCCGCCGGCGGCAGCTCATGCACCAGTTGGTGTTCAATTGATCTAGGTTCTACAGCATGATCAAATCACGTGCAGCTGCGTTGCTTTCCTCGAGGCACCGCAAACCAGCATCTGGAGGCATCTCTTCCCGCGGCAGCTAAATGTTCGGTCACGACACCCGGTAAAGCGATTGAAATTGAAATGTGGAAGCTCCCCTGATGCGCGTGGTGGGCTACGCAGCAGCGTTGGTCTTGATCGGCGCCACCGTCGCGCGCCTCTGCATCGATCCTCAGCAAATGGACGAGCCCGTGGCCTTCAGGCAGGAGCCGGTGCTGCAGACGCGAAACAATGGGACCGGCGAGCCACCTCCGGACTTCTACGCATGGTGCGCCGCACAGGACGGCGCCCCGGCTGCCGCCGCCCCCGCCCACATGCACACATGCCCCCCTGTGCGGTGCCGCTCGCAACCGACAACCGTTCGCGGGTGCCGGGTTCCCCCAGCCCTTGTTGCTTTGCAAAATCAACCCATCCACCGTCCCGCAGGATGCGCGATGACAACCGCTCGCGCCCCGATGTCCTGGCGTACCTCGACGCCGAAAACGCGTATGCTGACGAGGCACTGGCGGCGCTGTCGCGCCTCACAAACGCCCTGGCGGATGAGATGGGCGCACCCCTGCCGGAAGTGGAGTGGCGCGCCCCCAAGGCGGCCGGCGCCTGGGAGTATGCGCAGCGGCGCGGCCCCGGGGACGATTATTGGGATGTGATGCGCCGCCCCGCGCCGGCTGCTGCTGCTGCCAGCGGCGGCGACGGCGGAAGGGCGGCGGCTGCGGCGCCCGCGTGGCGGACGGCGGCGCCGTTCAACCGGCTGGCGCGCGCGCACCAGTACTTTGACGTCGTGGAGTGGCACGCGGCGCCGGACGGCGCCGCGCTGGCTTTCTCAGTTGACACCCGCGGCGATGAGGAGTTTTCGGTCTATGTCCTGCCCCTGGCAGCCGACGGGCCGGCGGCCGCGGCACAGGGAGAGACCGGAGACCAGGCGAGCGGCCGCGGCGACAGGGACGAAGAGGGCGTCAGCAACAGCGGCGGCGCGTGGGAGGGCGCTGGCGCGCCAGTCCTGATCGCCAAGGGTGCGGCCGGCGGCGGGCAGGCCGTGTGGGCACCGGACAGCCGCTCCCTATTCGTGCTGGAGCAGCCGGGCAGCAGCAAGCGGCAGGGCGGCAGCTCGACGCGCGTCTGGCGGCGCGCGGTAGCCGGCCGCATGACCAGAGGCGGGAGCGGCGGCGGCAGCAAGGGCAAAGCGGCGGCGCCAGGCGATGCGGTGCTGTTAGAGCTGGACCCTGGGGCGCTGGATCTTGATTTGACAGTCAGCAGCAGCGGGCAGTTCCTCATTCTCAAGTATGGCGCTGAGGTGCGGCTTTGGAGTTTGATGACGAACTGCTGAACAATTGGGGTTTGAAAAACTTGGGGTTGATTAGGGCAGGATTTGGGCGCGTCACCAGGTGGCACCAGGGCCTCGGCCGATGTGTCAGGAGGGCGTTGGGCGGGAGGGCCGCAGTTGCAATGGACCAGGGGCAAACATCTGGCTTCTGAGCTAATGGGCTGTGTGTGTTCAAGCGGCAGTGGGCATGCTGCTTCAGCGCGAGGCCACACCTCACCCAGCCGACCTCCCTGTCCGTCCCCGGCCCCGCCTGCCTGCCTGCACCCCAGGACGGGGACGCTGTGCTTGCCCTGGACATGGTCGCCGCATCGGGCGGCCCCGGCATCGCAATGCAGCAACAGCAGCAGCGAGAGCAGCGCCCCTCGGAGCTCGCTCGCGCAGTGGCGGCGGGCTGGCGCGTCGTGCTAGACCCAGACCTCGGCCGCGACTGCATGCAGGCGGATCACTGGCGGGACGATGTTTTCCTTTTAATAGTTGACGACGAGGACGAGCCCGATGGGCGTGTGGAGCTGGCGGCCGTACCACGGCTGCCTGCGGCAGCGAGCGCCGCGGCGGCAGCGGTGGTGAGGCAGCCGCTGCTCGTGAGCGCGGGCGGAGCCCACAATGGGAGTGGCGGCGGCAGGAGCGGCGGCAGCGGCGGTGGCGGCGGCGGCGGCGGCAATGGGGGCTTCAGGGAGGGCCACGTGGAGGTGCGCAGCTTTGCTCTAACGCGGGACTATGCAGCCGTCTCCATACGCCGCGGCGGCGCCTGCGTCGTCCAGGTCTTCGACTGGCAGACGGCTGCCACGGCGCTCGCAGCCGCTGCAGCGGCGGCGGCGCGGGCTGCGCAGGGCGGGCAGCAGAAGGGCGGGAAGCCCGAGGAGTCCTGGCCCGTCCCGCTGCCGGCGCCGGCGTGGGAGCTTTCGTTCGGCCGCGACGCGACAGCGGTGGTCGGCCTTGTCGGCGAATCGGGCGCTTTCGAGGTCCCGAAAGTTCGGCTGTCCGAGGAATCATTCGTGAGCCCCGTGAAGCAGTACGATCTGGACCTCCAAACGAGGGAGAGGGCGCTGGTCTATGCCGAGAAGCTGGCGGGAAGCTTCCAAGAGGAGCGGTACGAGAGCCGCATGGAGTGGGCGACGTCTCACGACGGCGTCAAGGTGTGTTTTTGGGGGGGAGGGGTCGGGCGAAATGTTCGGCGGACGAGGGAGGCAATGCTGTTTGCGACCGGGGCATGACATGATATGTGCATGCATCACCAGCATACTCCTACAACAGTACAGTGTTTTTCTTGCCAGCAGCAACCGCATACCTGTCACGTTTACACCTGCTTTCCTGGTGCTCCTTGCGCCATACCCAGGTGCCCATGACCGTGGCCTGGCGCCGCGACAAGGTTGCGCGCAACGGCGCCAACCCCGCCATCCTCCACGGGTGGGCGGCTGGCCTGTACCCCTGCAACGCGCCTCTGTAGCCGCCCTCAACGAGACAGCAAGACAGCAGGCTTGAAGTACAAAATACGGTCGAAAATCTGCCCAACAGACACCACGCCCGTGTTTCCAGTACGCCCAGCGTCATTTCCCTCTCACTCGGCCACAACCTCAACCTCAAACAATCTAAATGTCCTTCATTGCATACCCTGCCGCCCCTCGTTTACCCACAGGACGCTCCACGGCAATCAACATGCCACCCCAACCCCCACCCTGAAAGCCTCCCACTCGCCCCGCCACACACACACACACACACACACACACACACACACATACGCAAACACACACCACAGGTATGGGGCGTACGGCGCCAAGAAGTTTCCTGGGTTTGATCCTGCTGACCTGGCGCTGTTGGACCGCGGCTTTGTGCTGGCGGTGGGCCACATCAGGGGCGGCTCAGAGCTGGGGGCGGCGTGGCACTCGGATGGGGAGAGGATGCACAAGGTAGGGTGGGGGCACGGAGTGCTTTGCGTATGCCCATGTGCGCGCTTGGGGAAGATTGAGGAAGGCGCATGGATGAACACCTGTTTATTCATTGGGCAAATTAGAGGCAGTCACAGAGCCACGTGGGGCACATTCGCATGCCCCAGTCTCTTCTAGCAGAACCAGTTGCAAAGCAACTCTCCAGCCGCATGCTGTAGACCCTTTGCCTATAAATCGGCATCTCCTTCATTCGCTCCTGCGCCCTTTTGTAATTGCAGATGAACACCTTCCACGACCTCCTGGCCTGCGCCCGCCACCTGGTCGCGTCCAACTACACATCCCCGCCCCGCCTTGCGCTCTGGGGCCGCAGCGCCGGCGGCCTTGCGGTCGGCGCGGCCCTCAATCTGGACCCGGCCTGCTGCGGGGCGGCTGTGTTGGACGTGCCGTTCTTGGACCCCCTGCGCACCATGCTGGACGCGTCGCTGCTGCTGACGGTCAAGGAGCGGCCGGAGTGGGGAGACCCCATTGCCGACGAGGTGGGGGCCTTGGTGGTGGCGCCGCTTGCCGGCCGCTGCGTCCTGATCAAATCAGTGATTTGATGGGGCCTGCGTGTGCGCTTCGTGTGCAGGGGTGCTTTACAGCGCCGCCTCGGGCTGAAATGCAAAAGGATTGGATGGTCACCAAGCGGGCGCAGGGCTGGCTGCCTGCACGATTGCCATGTAGCAAATGATGCTGGTGCAGTCAGGACGTTTGCGCCCCGCACACGTTAACCTGCTCCGCACCAATCCCACCTCCAACTCCCTGTCTTGCAACTACCCGCCCGCACTTGCTCACTGTTTCCCCTGCGACCTGTATACAGGCTGCCTTCGACTACATCTCATCATACAGCCCCTACGACAATGTGCAGGACGCCCCCTACCCCAGCCTCCTGGTTACAGCCAGTTTGTGGGACCGACGCGTCAACTTCTGGTGGGCGGTTTTTTTTGGTGCCTGACTGTTGCTTGAGCGCTGGGTTCGAGCTTGCTTTCCAAGGGCCGGCTGGGGTTTGCTGCAAACATGCCTGGGTTGCAGACGCGACGCTCACGTGGCTCTGCCTGTCGGTGCGCTGGAGCGCGCTCGCGCCCAGACCACAGCGAGCCAGCGTTGTGCTCCGACGATCCACAGCCTTCGCTTGCACTCCAAAACACCCCATACAGCACCGCCGCTCCACCCTTGCACACACGTCCCACAATCCTGCTCTCCTCCCCCAACCTCCAGGGAGCCCCTGAAATATGTGGCCAAGCTGCGCCACCTCAGGCAGCTCCGCCGCCAGTCCGCGGCCTTCACGCAGTCCGGCGTCACCACGCGGCTGCAGGACGCCCGGCTGAAGGGCGCTGCAGCGCTTTCGCCGCACGGCGGGGGCGGCGGCGGCAGCGACGGCTGTGGCGGGAGGATCCTCATGAAAACCGACATGGCGGCCGGCCACTTTGCTGCGTCGGGGGCGGGCGAGCGGCTGCGGCAGCGCGCGGAAAAGGCTGCGTTCCTGGTTGACGCGCTGGGCCTGGGCGGGTGATGGCGAGGGTTGTGGGTTCATTCTGGGGCAACTTACTGCCTGCATTCAGGCGGCAGGGCCCCAGATGGAGAGTGATGAGGGCTGCAGGGGCCGCCGAGTGCACATCGGCGGGCTCGCCGCAATGCACATAATGCGTCATTGCACAAGTCCAACAGATGCGATTGTGATAATCCCTGCATGCTTGCCGCAATTGTCTATATTGCAATACCTTGTTTGTGGGTTTTCACAAGTCAGCGCTGCATGTGCCTTGTGCAAAAGTGCACCTTCAGTTGTCCTCACCTGCAGGCATTCTGTCGCATGCCATGCTGCAGTTGTAAAGGCGGCATATCAGGACTGTATGTAAGGTACACTCATCACGTTGAAAGAGTGCTGCTTTTGCCCTACATTTCTTCTGCTTTGCTGCTGATGTATTGAAATCATCGACTGCTGCACCATGTGAATATGTGTGGCATGCCGCCGCGGCGCCAGGGGTGACACAGCAAACCAAATTTTTTGTCAACCATTCTGAATGGCCCAACCCCCTTCGCTGACAAGAAGTGGCAAGGGTGCTGCGCGGCAAGGGCACAAGGACCTGTGGCAGCGTTTGTTTGTGCTTGTGCGGTCAATTGGGTTCACCAGCAATGTCTAAGGGCGCCTCTGGCTTTGCAGCATCGGCCACTGTCACCAGGCCAGCTATTCGATGGTGCTGCCCAGATTGTCTCCAAGCAAGTCGATGTTCAAGTTGATGTCAGCAACCTGATTGAGAAAAGCATAACAATCTATGCACATGCATCCACTTCTTCCCCCAGGGGATGCGGCAGTAAGTACCGTGGGATGAAAGGGTTCACATGCGAGAACGTGTTGTTGATGAATGGTGGCAGAGGGTGCCGTGAATGCAAGCTGTGGCACAAGGCTCATGACGGCTGGCAGTACGCTTTACTGCAGTAGGATCTATAGTGCCTAAAATAAGGATTGATGTGCACTCATTGGATGTTGCATGAAAGGGTTGGCCAGGTCACATGCTTGAAGATGGAGTGTGGCCTGACTCTCTGTGCAGTCGGGCGACGACCGAGGGCGAATGTTGTGCACTATGAGCACCAGCAAACCAATCGTTCTGTTCAGGTAAACAGCAACCATTGGTTACCAGCGTGGCTGGGGCGAGTGCAGCATATCTTGTGGGGGTGACAGTCTGACTCAGGGGTTTGGGCGGCAGCTTCAAAATGCGGCGTCTTCAGCCCCAGCGGCAAGACCCTGCGAGCTGTAGCCACATATCATAACAACGGAAGCCTCTGAAACTTTGATCCGCGCACCTAAAATACTAATTTGCGCCTATCTACCGGCGCAAAGCCGCGTGATCGCACCCATGCAGATCGCCATGAACGCGCCAAGTGAAGCATCAGAATAGACCCAGAACGGGACATGACACAGCACTGAATCCCACACATCGATTGCGGCAACCATGGATACAGCTGCCAGTAGCGCCGCCGCCCGCATTGAGGCAGCCCTGGCGCGTGCCTGCGAACGCTCGCTACGCTCTGCGCTCCGGCGCCAGCCGCGCGCCACCTCTTCGATGATGCGCATGGCAGAGGCCTCAGGCGTGCTGGAGGAGGTTTGCAAGGCGGCGCCACCAGATCTGCGGCTCCCGCACAAAGCCATTGTGTTGCTGCTGCAAATGCTGCGGGACGAGGCAGCGAGCACTGGCGAGGTCGTGCTGGCGACCGCCGCCTGCTCCAATTTCATCAACAAGCCTGGATGCCTGGGGCAGGTGCGCGCAGCGGGGAGCGTCAGGCACGCGCCACATCGTTTTCAGGGCAGAGAGCGCCAGCCATGGATTTGACAGAGCCAGCAAACGGGGCCGCCGCGTTCCTGTCTGCGATCCCCTCCCCTGCGTCTGTGTGCGGCTACGGGTGGAGGCCCGTCAAGCAACGAGCCGAAACCCGCCCCTTCATCGGTCCTTTTCACCCACTTGCTTTGTCCTTGTGCTGCTCCACCCGGTCAACTTCCATGAAGATGGCCGACGGTGGGTATGCACAGGCCCTTGCCCAGCTGGTCGGGCGCCAATCCTATCAGGCCGAAACCACAGAATGGGCCTGCAAGATCATCAGGGCTCTGTGCCTGCACGACAGCGCCGTTTGCGCGGCCCTGCTGGCGATGCCTGAGGACGCGGTCGGGATCCTGATCGCCGCCGCCACGACGACATGTGCCGCGCAAAGCAACGCCGGAGCGCTTCGGGTCCTCTCGCTCCTGGCGCGCGCCGAGGCCCCGGGCGCGGACGAGGCGGCGGCGCGCGTCGCGGAGGACCACGCAGTATTGTCTGTCGCCGCCTGGCGGGTGGCGGACGGCGGTGGCGCGGACCAGGCGGCCCTCGCGCCCATGCTGGCGCTGCTGGCCCACCCAGTGAGCCGCGCTACGTCCGGTTTCTGCTGCAGCACTCCTCGCTACCCTGCCTGGATCTAGTCCCGCTTGCAGCGCCAAGCTCACAGACTTCCATCGCCAACGGGGCCCTCCCTTGTCGGCAGCGCTGTGCGGCGGGCCGCGGCATGCAGGCGGCAACTCACATTCAAACTGCCCCCCGCCGCGCAGATCGTCATCGGCAGCAGCCCGCGGCACCGGGCAACCGTCGCCGCGGCGCTTGCCGAGCGCGGCGCCGCGCCGCAGCTCGTCAGGGCGCTGGCCAGCGGGGACGACGCAGTTGCCAGCCACGCGTTGACGCTGGTGTGGGTGCTGTGCAATTCCCGCGACCACAACGCCATCATCGGAGCCCAGCCGGGTGTGGTCGCCGCGATTGCAAGCCATCTGCGGCGTGCGACAGGCGGCGGCGGCGGCGGCGACGAGCTTTCCAACACCAGGTTTAAGGCTTTCTTGTCGCTGCGGGGCCTGATTAGGGCCGATGCCCGCGCCGGCGACGCTTTTGCGGCGATGGCGCTCTGGCCTTCGAGCACGGCCATCTTGGTGGCCATCGGGCAGCAGCTGGCGCTCCCTGCTCCCCCGTCGTATCACAATTTGTTGTCAGGGTGCGACGTCGAGCCGCAGCTGGCGCACGACGCGGCGTGCGCGCTCAACGCCGTCGCCCGCGCAGCCCTCCGCGACGGGCGGCTCTCGCAGCTGCAGACGGCGCGCCCCCTCGTGCACGCGGCGGCGCGAGCGCTGGTGCAGGCGTGCGCAGTCCTCAGCGACGAGATGCGCGCGCAGCTGGCGGCCGACCCCCGCGCAGCGCCCACTCCCGGCCAGGTGGCCGGATCGAGCAGCACCTACCTCTCTCAGACGCTCGAGTCCCTCACTAGCCTCTGCGAAGGGGGCGGCGGCCGCGACGATGGTGTGCTCGCCGCCTGCCTCGCGCTGCTGGAAGAGGGGCACGCGCTGCTGCGGGCCCTTCAGCCGGCCGTGGTGCGCGCCGCACAGGCGCAGCGGGAGCTGGTTGACAGGGACCTGGGCGGGGCGCCGCCAGGAGCCGGCACGAATCACATGAGGGCTTTACTGCAGCACGACAAGCGGCTGGCCCTCCTCCTGTTGCGGCTCAAAACCCTGCTGGTGGGCTGCGGCTACTGGTGGCTTCACTTACAGCTGCAGCAGCAGGGGCGGCAGCAGGTGCAGCAGGAGCAGCGGCAGCAGCAGCAGCTGGAGCAGCCGCTGGAGCAGCAGGAGAAGCAGCAGGAGAAGCAGCAAGTGGAGCAGCAGCTGGATCAGCAGGTGGATCAGCAGAAGGTGCAGCGGGGGCGGCAGGTGGAGCAGGAGCAGCAGCTGGAGCAGCAGCAAGAGCAGCAGCTGGAGCAGCAGCAAGAGCAGCAGCTGGAGCAGCAACAGGAGCAGCAGCAGGAGCAGCAGCAGGAGCAGCAGCGGGAGCAGCAGCTGCCAGCTCCAGTGGAGCAGCAGCTGGAGCAGCAGCTGGAGCAGCAGCTGGAGCAGCAGCTGGAGCTGCAGCTGGAGCAACAAATGCAGCTGGAGAAACATCAGCAGGAGCAACAAGAGCAACAAAAGCAGCGCTCGCACACGAAGCGGTGCGCGGCGTGCGGCAAGACCGCGGCCAGCGGCGCGCGCTTGCACTCATGCCGTGGCTGCCGCGCAGTGCGGTACTGCGGCCTTGAGTGCATGCGCAGCGCATGGCCGGGCCACCGGGCAGCATGCAAGGAGCAGCAGGCAGCAGCGGCCTCAGCCGCCGCTCCGTCCGGTCTATGACGGTAAAAAGGCACGCGGCTTGCTGTGAGCGTGATAGGCTGTACTCGACCATTTGACCGTCCACTCCTATGCATGACGCTAGACAGTGACCACTTCTGCACGACTCGATTCAAAAATTCCGCGTCTCAAACCAACCCCACATGCACCTGCACTGCCCCTTGCCCAAAGCTCAGCCTGGATGAGAGGTTCACCAATCCCATCCCGACCCTCAACCCAAGCCGTTGGGTTTGACAGACACCCTGGCTTTGACCGTCCCGCTGTAATTTTGCAAATATAACGTCAGCCTGAGTGTCCATGGGGGCCCTGGCCGCGGGCTTCGGCGCAGCTTTCATCCTGGATACATGCCAGCCAAAGGTGTGCTGGATCACGACGGCTCTGCTGCCCGGTCAGCGCTGCTGCGGCGGCTAGATGCCTTGCCTGGCGGCGCAGGGCAGTAGGGGTGCGTCTTCGACAGCCAGAAGGGTGCATGGGCTTCGTGTGCTCAGTCTACAGCAGACGCGCTGCGGGACGCGGCTGCATCATGGGATGAGTGCCCTGTCAGCGCTACAGCGGCGGTCAAATCACGTGCACAGAGCCCCGCTTGCACGCAAGGCTTCCATTTTGAAATGCCAGGGGACAACTGAGAATTTGAAACCAGCTAGTGCCACTGTCATGCACCAGCATCTCTGTCATGTCAGATCAGCCAGCAGTGTGAAATTCTCTTGGGATATTTCACCGTCCACACACCCTTGTTGGCGTCGCGATCCGATATCGTAGGGTGTAACAGCTCTTGTTTGTCACGACATGTGTTCGCTTTGGCCATAAGTACGCGTCCCGTGTGCCCAGTCAGATCTGAGGGCGCGGTTCTTCTATCTCCGCCCAGTCCCTTGAAGCTGACTTGCAGGGCTCATAAGCTATGATCAATTTGGTTTGCATACGACGTGCCATGCTGCCTGCGGTGCTGTTGTTTGCTGCGGCGGCCGCGGTTGGCGCACAGCTGGACAGCACTAATGACACGAGCGGTAATGACACGCTCGGCGTGCCTGGCGGTCTATCCAGCGGTGCGTATTGAATGAGGGATCTCAACGTCTGGGATCTGACGAGTCATGGAGTCTGCTGGATGCTTCGTTCTGGCCACCGCGCAGCCCTGCGTGCACCAGCGACCCAAACGACTTGCGCGCACATGCGCAGGTGTCACATGCCCTTGAGCGCACTTGCCTCTAGCCTGTCAACTACACCAACTCAACCGACTGCCCCAATCCAAGTGATAAAACCTGCATGCCACGCAGACTACCCCATGCCCCTGCCGTCCCCATCATGGAACTGGACCTCCCTCGAGATCCAGCTGACTGAGCCCCGGACTGCCCCAGAGGCCGGCAGCCCGACCACCGCCATCGCCTGGGAGCCACGTACTGCAGATTGCCTCATCAACGCGCTGCGTGCGGCGGGCGCGCTGCCTGACCCCGAGACGCACCCGAGCGTCGTCGGACTGCAGGTCGTTCCGTATGAGGCGGTGATCAATGTGACCGCAGACACGCAGCCGCCGCTACCGCTTGACGGATCCGCGGGCTGGATGCCGCGCCAGCAGCTCGCGGCCGCGTTTGCCGCTGTTTTTGGCTACGAGGGCGGTACGGGGGTGCCTCAGGTGCGTCGAAGCAGGGCTGGTCCTTGTTGAATGCTGCCTGTGGGCGGCTGCATGGTTCACCTTGGGGACACTGTTGTCACTAGGCCAGCTCTCCACATCTGCTTCACAGATTTGGCGCCCTGGGACCACTCATTGAAAACTGTGTGCTACCACCCGCTCAAAATCAACCATTATACTCACCTCCACTGTCCCATCTGTGTTGCGGCATGCACCAGTACGACTCAGCACTCCTCAACCACCCGTACGTCTCGCCATCACCTGACCTGCAGGCTGATCTAGGCTCCCAGTCCCCCAGCCCCTCGGACAACCAGCAGCCAGACCCCGGCACGCTGGATGGAAATGGCACTCAGTTCAACGCCACGTTCCCCTTGATGCTCCCTTTCGGCGAAAACTTGGCGTCGTTGCTCAGCTCGCGCGTGCCTGTTGACCAGGTTGACCTGACCCACCGGGTCACGGTGAGCATCCGCAGGCCTAGCGCGCGCATGGCACACGCGGCCGCAGAGGGGACATGCACCCTTCAGTTTCGAGTGTCATGCAAGCCCAACCAGCCCCCTTGCTGCCTCCTCTGTGTTAGCACGGGCCTGCTTGCTGATCCCCCTTTGGCTGTGCCCCCCCCCCC